CCCTCTATATGCTGCCAGAAGGTGGTCTTACTCAAACATGAATTTAATCTTGAACTTCTTCCACTCACAGTCTTTTAATGACTCCCTATGGTTTTAGCGTCCTGATAACCTTCCAACTCCTGAGAAGAGCTTACCTCTCCAGCCTCATCTTCCGTCACACAAATTCACGCACCATAGGTAGTGCCCCTAACTTACTAAGCTTCTGTGCCTTTGTGTACGCTATACTCTCTGCCCCAAATGCTATATATCCCTTCTCCCACTGGATTAACGTTTAAGACTTTGCTCAGTTGACACTTCTACTAAGAAGCTTTTCTGGAGTTCTTCAGGCTAAATCTGGTGCTCCCTTTTATCCTCCCACATCGCACCTGGTCACAACTTTACAGAAGCACAGGAATCAAATTAACCATATACTTGTCTTCCACTTCCTTAAGTTAGGAACTGTTTTATCACTGTATTCCCAACGTCTGCAACATAGTAATCATTCAATAAATACTTGCTGGATGAATGCATGTTCTACCTTCCTCTTACCAGAAGACTCTAGCCAAACCCACTCTAGTACAAACTCACAATTGTTGCCCTACATGATATTCATGTTTTTAAGAATTCTTAAATGGCCTGTCTTATAGGAAAATTTATTCTATCCCCTCTTTCTATACAATTATTTGATTTGGCTTACTTCAGTTCAAAACATATTACTGGCCAAGCACAATGGTTCACACCTGTAATCTCAACACTTTGGGAGGCCAAGGCAGGAGGATCACCTCAGCCCAAGTGTTCAAGACCGGCCTGAGCAAGATGGTGAGACCCTGTCTCAAAAAACAAAACAACAACAAAAAAACATATTATTTGCTTGATTTGTGCTAGATTAACATAATAACTGCTAACATCCACCCACAAGGATGAAAGAAGAACTAATGTTTATCACACATGTAATATATGCCTCTTAGTCAATCCTCACTGGTCAATATTATTTCAATTGATAAGGAAATGGGCTCAGCAGTGTTAAAAAAAATAAAATAAAAATATATTAAAAATTAAACTTAAAAAAATCTGTCCAAGGTCACACAGCTAGTTGAATTATGGCAGAGCTGCAATTTACACTCAAATCTGCCTGTCTTTAAAGCTCTTTCCACTGCCAACAACCAATACAGTTAAAATACCAGACCAAAAAAAAAAATACTACCAAACAAGGAGTTTTGAAATGTGGACTGTGGACCCAGGAGTACCCTAACGTGCTACATAACTAAAGGCAAGTCACTTAATATCTCTGCATCTCCACTTCTCAAGGACAAAAAAGGAGGAATAATAAAACCTTTTAAACACCATATAAAAACATATTATTTGATTCCTTAAGTTCTATACTTAATTTATCTTCTTTTAAGAATCCATTTAAATTTTTAAGAACATTCAATATCTTCCTAAAAATATTTCAACGTAAAAAATATATTTTCTAGAGTTCAGCTGCTCTGTATGTCATACATGATTCTAACTGTCCTTCATTCCACTCCTGATTCTAAGCATGATTAACGTAAATATCATTTTCTTGTGTATAATTTTCCCCCAGTTCAATTTTACTGTTGCCTTAGTGATGCTAGTATTTCAACAATAATTTCTGAAGTTTCAAATACCAAAGAAAACTGGGTTGAGAAAAGCTTCAGTTAAAGCTCCAGCTGAGGAACTGATCCTGGACAGGGTGAAGAAGGGAAGCAGGCTGGAAGTGGGATGGAGCTCTGTGAAGGGTGGAGAATGTTCTCTCTGAAGACTGACTCATTACCATTTAAATAAACAAAATTTAAGCCTAGAGACCAACAATTAGACAAGGCAAAGAATCAAGGTGAGTTGGTTGGGGCAGAATCAGAATCCAAATGGACAAAATCCAGGTTGAAGGCTAAGAGCTGACAAAAATGTTGGGGGAGGGGTGACGAGAGGTGAAGAAAAGTTAATTTAAGGCAGAAGGGGTTACAGCTAAAGATAACAACGGGTTCTTCCCTTCTCAAACCATTCCTAAAGCCACTAGCAGGTAAAGAGAGCGAGCAGGGTAAAATAAGCGTCTAACGGTTAGGAAACTGAGCAGGAAGTCAGAGCTCAGACTGAGGAGGGCAACTGTTGGGGGTAGCTGATGGGTTGAGATGTCAGAGGTTGGTTGGGCATAGAGGCTGTGGCCTAGCATAGGGCATCAGATGTGGGCAGAGTCAAAGGGCACCCACAGAGCAGGGCAGTCCAATGTAGAGCATCAGAGCCAACCTGGGTAAGGAGGGCCTCCATGTGGGGACTGACCTGGCATGGGGAATCAGAGCCTAATTGAGGTAAGAAGGGCAACAATACAGGAGGCCAGCCTGGAATAGGGAATCAAAATCCAAGCTGGGTGAGGAGATCATCCACATGTGCGAAGAGCCCAGCAGGAGGCATCAGAGCCAAGGCAGGATAAGGAGGGCATTCAAAAAGAGGAAAAGCCCAGTGTGGGAGTTCCAAGCACAAAGAGGGTGAACGTGACTTCTCTACAGAAAGGCAGTCCAAGGTGGGGAGTCAGGGCCCAGGCAGGATTAGGAGGGTGTCCATGTGTGGGGAAAGGTGGAATAGGATGCAGATTCACAGTCAAAGCAGGGAAAAGAAGACATCCATTGCAGAGGAAAGGGGGCAACTGAGATGAGAATTGCTTCTCATATTTATATATGAGATTGGTCATACATAAATATAATTCTTTTTTTTTAAGAAGGGGTTTCACCATGTTGGTCAGGCTGGTTTTTAACTCCTGACCTCAGATGATCCTCCCGCCTTGGCCTCCAAAGTGCTTGGATTACAGGCGTGAGCTACCACGCCCAGCCATACATAAATATAAATTTATAAATAAGTAAATATATTAAAGATAACAGAAACCAGGTTTCCCACTGTTGAAGAAAACTGGAATAAATCCTACAGTGTTAAATTGGAATTAAAAGTACCAGTTTGAACTCATAGCTTTCTCTATGGACAGAAAAATAAATATAGATGCAAATATGTATACAGACTTACGTATATATACTCCTAATCTCTGTTCACTGTGAGGACTTGGGAGCAGTGACACCCAATAGCAGTGAGCCCATGTAGCACCTAAATTTTTCTAAATACTGTCCTACACTAAAAGTAACCAGGGATCCATAAAGAAATGATTGATTCCAGGAATGGATGGGGAAACTACGACTCTGAAACATCCTGGTGGGCCAGAAAACATGGAAGTACTCAAAAAATGATGGGACAAGCAGAAACTAGCTTAAGGTGCTCTCACTGGCCAAATCTGAAACAACTGGAGCATCAAATAAAAACAGTTAATAGCTTATAACCCATTAAATAAAATAGAAACTATGAATCTCTAGAGACAAAAATAAATGAATTAATTGAAAATTGGATCACAAAACACTTTATTAATTACATGAGAAAAAAGATAATTTTATGATGAAGGAGTCTAGCAGGTACCACCCTAATCAAGTGATCAAAGAGAACATAATTAGTGGAACACAAATCACAAACTATCAGATAGGATGCCATGAAAAGACTATAACATCACTTCTGTAACATTCCTAAAACAGATACATGATCTGAATCTAATCATGAAACAAACCCACATTGAGAGATGGTCTTCAAAATATCACTGTCCTGGCCAGACACAATGGCTCATGCCATTAATCCCAGCACTTTGGAAAGCCGAGGCAGGTGGATCACCTGAGGTCAGGAGTTCCAGACCAGCCTGGCCAACATTGTGAAACCCCATCTCTACTAAAAATCAAAAAAAAATCAGCCAGGTGCAGTGGAACGCACCTGTAATCCCAGCTACTTGGGAGGCTGAGACAAGATAATCACTTGAACATGGGAGGCGGAGGTTGCAGTGAGCCGAGATCACACCACTGCACTCCAGCCTGGGCAACAGAGCAAGGCTCTGTTTCAAAAAAAAAAAAAAAAAAAAAAGTCCCTGTCCTAAACTGCAAAGACAGACTGGGAAAATGTCTCAGACAGAGACTAGAGACATGATAACAAAATGCAATTCTGAACCAGATCCTTTTTCTATAAAAGATATCATGGACAACTGGTAAAATATAAATGAGTTCTAAGAATTAAATACTAATAATATATCAATGATTTTTATAGTGGCATTCTGGCTATATAAGACAATATCCTTCTTTGAAGGAAACACTGAAATGCATGGGGGTAGTGAGGCACCAAGTCAACAAATGAACTCTCAAATGGTTCAAGAATAGAAAGTTCTTTGTCCACTCAACTTTTCTATAAATTTGTGATTGTGTCAAAATTTTTTAAAACAGCAAGAAAGAAAAACACACAAGAGATAAAATTTGCCTGCCCTCCACATATATATACAAACACACAGCAGCAGTTCTCTGTGCCCAGGGTTCAGAAATCAGATGAAGCGGGTGTGAGCTGTCTGAAACAAGATCTTTCTTTTGCATATGACATATTCTGACCCTACCTCCTAAGAGGAAAAGAAAGAGCTTCTGATGATAAACTCAGCTATTAAAAGCAATTACTTGTTCAATTTATACATACCATGTCTGTGCCAGCTCTTCTCATTATTAACAATAATCACCTTTGTTCAAGCCCATCTTTTCCTACTCTGACAAGCAGAATACTGTCCAATTAATATAGTTGTGATACCCTTTTCATTAATCTCCCCTATCTTACTCACATTTGCATTGCACTTTTACATATTCAACTGAAACTAATTTTCACTCCTGAGAAATAATGAGACATATATACTTAATAATGGAAAAAGAAATCATGCCAATCTTCTCTAGAAAATAAGCAGACATATTAGTTTACTCTTGAAATTCCTAAATGTCAAAGAACTAGAGAACTAGCCTCCTCTTTAGAATTCTCTTTTTCAAAGCCTAATAATATGTTCATTCTGACTTCCTTCCCTCTTCTATGAAAAAGTATTCATTATTTTCAACATTAAATGAAATCTAACACTTTTCTTAAATGTCTTTACATATATCAAAAAATATACATACCTCATCTACGAAGTTAATAGCATCAAACCAGTCTTGAAGAGCTTCAAGGCAGTATCTAACGACATTTCGGGTATATTCTTGAGTTTCCTAAAATAGTAAGTTATATATAATAAATTTATAATATATAAACATATTTTCAACATTAAATTATATGTAATATATAGTATATACACTGTGTACACATAAAATGGTAAAATGTATATATTTTCAAGATTATATTTGCCATATCAAGAAATTGTCCCTTCATAAACTAACAACCAGTGAGAAATATGAAAATTAAACAAGTCAATATGCTTTCTTTCTCATAACATGCTTCTAAAAATGAATGTAAGCTGTAACAGAGTTTAAATAGATTTAAATCAGACTCCATTTCAAGAGAAACCCCCCCTCAATTTCTTATAAATTCCCTAATGTTACTGTTTAATAGGTACAGAGTTTCTTTGAGGCTGATGAAAAAGTACTGAACATGGATAATAGCAACAGTTGTACAACACTGGAAATGTACTTCAAGTCACTGAATTTTATAGCTAAAAATAGTGGTAAATGTTATGTATATTTTACACAATTAAAAACATATGTGGACTGTAAGTAACCTGTGAATATCCTGACTTCCAATAGAATTTGGAAGAAGAAATGATGTGTGTGTCACTTGAAATAAGATAAGAATACTGTAAAAGACAACTACAATGTCTTGTGGTAAAACAGATCCATCAGAATAAGTGAGTTCTAAATTAAATAGAAATAGAAATAATGATAGGCTTGCTTAAAAAGAAAAAAAAAGAGGCAAAGAATTTAAAAAGACATTTCTCCCAAGAAAACATACAGATGCCTAATAAGCAAATGTAAAGATGTTCAATCATGGGAAAATGCAAATCAAAGCCACAATGAGACATCACTTCACACCAACTAGGGAGGCCATAATTTTTAAAATGTAAAACAAAGTGTTAGCAAGGATGTAGAGAAATTGGAATCCTCATATATTGCTGATAAGACTGTAAAATGGTACAGCTACTTTGAAAAACTGTTTACAGCTGGGCATGATGGTTCACACCTGTGATACCAACACCTTGGTAGGCCAAGGCAGAAGGATCATTTGAGGCCAGGAGTTCAAGACTAGCTGGGGACATAGAAAGACTCTGTCTCTGCAAAAAAATTTAAAAAATTAATCAAGAGTGATGGTGTGCATTTATAGCCCTAGATACTTGGGGGAAGGCTGAGTTGGAAGGGCTACTTGAGCCTAGGAGTTGAAGGAAGTAACGAGCCACGATCATGCTACTGCACTCCAGCTTGAGCAACAGCTAGACCCTATCTCAAAAAGAAAAAGAAAAAAAAAAGTTTGGCAGTTACTTGGTAAGTTAAACATAGAGTTATATGACCAAGCAATTCCACTCCTATGTATATTTCCAGAGAACTAAAAATATATGTTCACATGAAAAAGTGTACATAAACACTAACAGAAGCATTACCCGTAGCAGCCAAAAAGTGCAATCAACCCAAGTATCTATCAATGAATAAAACAACAAATGAAATGCTGTATATTCATATAATAAAATATTACTCAACCAGAAAAAGGAATGAAGTACTGACATAAGCTGCAACACAGCTGAACCTTGAAAACATTACATTAAGTGAAAGAAGCCAAACACAGAAGGTCACATATTACAGGATTCCATTTATATGAAATGCCCAGATTAGGTAGATTTATAAAGACTGAAAAGTAGATTAGTGGTTTCCAAGAGATGAGGGGAGGTTGGAACTGGAAGGAATGCAATTTCTTTTGGGGGTGAGGAAATACTCTGGAATTAGATAGTGGTAGAAGTTGTAAACTTTGGGAATATACTATAAACAAATGAATAGTATACACTTTAAAATGGTTAAAATGGTGGATTTTACCTCCATGTTTTAAAAAGTTAAAAAAAAGATACTTTGAGGCATCAATATATAATGTGTAAGTGCAGAAAACATCAAAGCCACATGTGTTAAATGCATCAGCCACCTGTGTAAATTATATAAATATGCCTTTTTAAAAAGGTGAAAGTCTCACATTCATTCTTGACTTCTCCTTCACCTTACTCATCGCCATGTCCTGTCAATTCCTGCTTGACATTATCATATAGCTTCACGCCTATTTCCATTGCCACAATCCAGACCAAAATCACTTACCTAGTCACCTTTCTAACATCCTCATCCTGTTTTAATCTATGCTATCTATGATTTACTCTATAAAATATTATTTTATATATTCTATTCCACACCTCTCACTGAAAAAAAATTAATGGCACTTATAAGTTATCATAAATAATCTTTCATAACCAAACTAAAGTAGCAGGTAATTCACAGATAGATAAACTTGTAAAACCAATGTTCTCCCATTTTGTTAAGGATTTGGGCAATGGGATACCATTACAGGCACTTAGCACAAGTGTAAACTGGTACACCACCCTTCTGGAGAACAATTTGACAAGTAGGTATTAACAGTCTTTTAAAAAGTGACCAGTTAATTCCAGTCCTAAATACAGCATATTTGGTAATCATGTTCTGACTGTCTCCCTCTTATCTTCCTACCACTATCACCCCCATCCTCAAAAGTCAGTATGCCTGCTGACTTACTCGTTTTATGACCTTGAGCAAATTACTTACATTTTATGAGTCTCAGTTTCTCTATATGTAAAAAATAGATGTAATATGATCTACTTCCCAGTACTGTTCTAAAGAGGCAAGTGAAATGATGTACATAGAATGCTCTGTATCAGATGTTAACACTATGTCTCACAAGTAGTTAAGTGCTTCAAAGAGTCAAGACCATATTCATCTTCTATCAAGTCTGCAGTAACCTATAGTTGCCACCGGATGAAAATTTTGCAGCTTTTCTCCTCAGAAAACAAACATCAGCAAAATTCTAGAAATGTGTCATCCCTTTATCCAATCTTCACGTCGTTAGTTAATCTAGCATTAAAAATATGATGCTCTACTGACTGAGCTATCTGGGTAGTCTTACTTCTTTTTTTTTTTCTTTTTTTTCTTGAGACGGAGTCTTATTCTGTTGCCCTGCTGGAGTGCAGTGGTGCAATCTTGGTTCACTGCACCCTCTGCCTTCCAGGTTCAGGTGATTCTCCTGCCTCATCCTCTTGAGTAGCTGGGATTACAGGCACGTGCCAGCACACCCAGTTAATTTTTTGTATTTTTAGCAGAGACAGGATTTCACTGTGTTAGCCAAGATGGTCTCCAAATTCCAAAGTGCTAGTATTACTTTTTTAACTAGGCCTTAATGTTTTCAAGAATCAAATAGCATTTGGCCAGGCGCGGTGGCTCACACCTGTAATCCCATCACTCTGAAAGGCCATGGAGGGTGGATCACAAGGTCAGGATTTCAAGACCGACTTGGTCAGCATGGTGAAACCCCATCTCTACTAAAAAAGCAAAATTAGCCGGGCGTGGTAGTGGGTGCCTGTAATTCCAGCTCCTCGGGAGGCTGAGGCAGGAGAATCACTTGAACCCTGGAGGCAGAAGTTGCAGTGGGCCAAGACAGCGCCATTGCACTCCAGCCTGGGCAACAGAGTGAGACTCTGTGTCCAAAAAAAAAGCATTCACTGCAATCAAAAAAAAGACAGTAATTTATCAAGTGAAATTTCCTTTTAATTACTTAAACCTTAAGTTTTACATTTTACAGTAAAAAAATTAAACAGAGAAATATTTTTTTTCCTATAAATAATAGTGTTTCTTCCAGTTTATACTTCTAAACCCTGACAGCACTGCAAAAAGCTTTGGACATTCTTGCTTTAAAAACAATTATAGCAAGTGATAAACAGCACTGGTTTTTAAATTAGATGAATTTGCTTCCAAATTCAGCTCCTACTTGTAGCTATGTAACAAGTTATTTAACCTCTGAAAGAACAGAATGATGCCACGTACTTTAAAATAGGAGATACAATGAAGGTTAGATAAGAATGTATTAAAAGTGCCTAGAACAATGTCTCACATAGTGTAAGTGCGTACCAAGAGAATGTCTTATCTAGGAACCAGATGCTCCTATAACCAAGAAGTTACTCTCTCAGATACTGCCAGGACAACAGGAGCCTGTTTTCTCTATGTTCTCTTTACTTCATAGATTAGGAGAACCATACCGCATTGTAATCCTAGCCTTCAAGGCTGAAATATGAACTACTGCCTGGAAACAATGATTTTTCATTATCAGAGAAATAAGCATAACCCCAAGCACCTCATAATTCAAATTCACCCTAAACCCAGTAGTCAGAATAATCTTCTTAAAATATTGCTCTTTTTATATCAGTATCACATCAACCCACTTTACGGAATCTGTCTTCCACTGGCTTACATACATGACACAGCATTCTTCTGATTTTTCTCTTCACCTTATCCCTAATATCTAAATATCAGTCCTTTCTTCAGGGTTCACATCTCTTTTCTCCCTATTTAATCTCATTACATCCCTTGGTGATAAATATCTTCTATATGCCAAAGGGTCTAGAATGTATATATAACCTCAGTGCAAACTTACTTTTCGAGTATGAGACTCACGTGGCCAACTTCCTATTCACTATTTCTACTTGGACATTTCACGGGCATCTCGAACTTAACCTATTTAAAGCTAACTCTGATATCTCTAAACCCAATTTTCTCTCATCTTTACTACCTTTATAAATAGCACTTCCATATACAATTTGTCAAAAGTCTCTCTCCCTCATCAATAATGTACAAGCCTATAGATTCTACCTCCAAAATACATCTTGAATATCCCAAATATACCTTGAATATATCTCAAATATATGCTACCTGAATTTCATGCTTAGACAATAGCATCTTTTTATTTAACTGACAAATAATAACTGCAAGTATTTATGGGGTACAATGTGATACACACACACGCACGCACACACGCACGCACACACACACACACACACACACACACACACACAAATTGTGGGATGAGTATATCAAGCTAATTAACACATCCATCACCTCAGACACTTATTTTTTGTAGCGAGACCATTAAAAATCTACTCCTTTAGCAATTCCAAAATGTAAAATACATTATTATTAACTATGGTCACCATGCTGTGCAGTAC